CCTCTTCTCCTTATGGTGCACCAGTGAGAGGCAAGAAAAGGCAGCTCAGCTACTCACAACCACACTAAGATGTAACCCAGCTTCTGGGAGTTTGGCACAGTGCTTCACGGAGAAGCATTCCCACCAGTGGGCTCCAGTTACCATTGATGTGGAGTGGGAAAGGAGGCTATGCAGGTCTGAGGAGATACAGCCTGCTTCACAAGGGCCTTGACTGTGTTATGAGCAAGTTTCTCTAGCAGCATATCAAGTCATATAACTGTAACAGCCCTTTAAAAAATAGTCACAAGAAGGTATTCTGTATGGCCCAGCTATTTAATGAAAGAGCATTTGTGCTGCTATAAATAGATTTTATTTTCAGTAACACAGACTTTATTGATGTTTCCCGTGCAACCATTAAAAGTTGCTGTGGAATTCTAATCAGACTATAATAGATGATTCACGTGTAATTCACAGTGCTTCTGGTGCACTTTATTTTTTTTACCTGTCATGCTTAGTGGTAATATTAATGACGGTCTGCCACCTGGTGTCCAGAAAGGGCTAGAGCTCACATGCATCAGAACAGCCTTGGCTGTGTAACCTCTTCGCTGAATTTTCCCATGTCAGGAACTAGTAATGCCACTACATGCCATGTAGGGGCAATTTCACAACATGTTATTTCGAAGGAGGGGTCTTCCCCTCTGCTCCTGGGATAAGTGGGTGGATCAGCTTTCCCTCCTTTTGCTGTGGACATTACACTGTTTATTTTTACTGTCATGCTTCTTATGGGCAGGAATCCTTTTCTCTAGGAATTTCCAACAGAGGATATTTTTAGAAATTTCCATTCTGAGTGCATACGATACACTGCAGAGGAGTGATGTTTTCTTGGAAGTTTTCCAGCTACTCATGCTGTTTCCCATGCTGGGGGGGGGTGGGGGGGGGGGGCAGAAGGAATACCGGGTTTTGGTTTTTTAGCTTTGTTTTATATTATGATGTTATGCAAGCAGAGACAAAGAAAGATCAGAAACAGTCTTTCTGTTCATTTCATGTTACTTTGCACTTGCCTAGTTCATAGCCAACTCAGGGATACTTCCTTGAGGGTCATGAGGTAGCAAAGTTACAAAACTTTCCGAAGAGCCATTTTCTGAAAAAGCCATTGTTATCAAGATCTTCAGTTTCTATTTCAGTCAACAACGTTGCTTAATTTTAATCATGGCCTTAAGATCATTCCCAGATCATCCGCCCTATGAGAAAGGAACAGAAGTGTATTGCTGAGTTTGGAAACTATGGGTAATTTATTTTGCAAAGCCTTAATTCATTTAAGAGGTTTAATCTACTGTTTTCATTAACAGTAACTCTTAGAGCACAGCTTATGCCTCCTTAAGAGTCCTAGATGCAAAATGCTGGAATCCAGCCCATCTCAAAATTCTGTGGATCTCAGGTTTGGTTATCTTCCCCCCTCCCCATTTCCCATCAAAGTAAAATGGTGGAGATTCCTGTTATCCCCCATCACTTTTGAAGCCTTGGCTTAAATCTCCTTGAAAATCAAGCACTAGCTTTACCAAGATATATAGATACTTAGGCAGCCTAAGTACATCCTAGTGGTATTTCGGATCCAGAAGATTTCTGACTCATGAGAAAGGACATAATGGTTGCCATCCCAACTGCCTCCTGCTTCTCAGAGTTTCCTACCCCATTGTCCAGACATTTCAGGAGCTGCCATGTGAACAGCTGAGCAGCTGCAGGCTGCCTGCCAGGATGTTATGGCAGACCACAACCCCCAGGCTGTACCAGTACATGCAGGGATATAAAATGCAGGAGCTAGCTACTGTGTGGACAACTGAAATGTCTTGGCAGTGGGGATGGGCACTTCAAGAAGCTGGGTGGACCAAGCTGCCAGGACAAAAACTGCCAGCACAGTTGTGCTCATTATCCATCACAGCCTCTGAAGCAGTTATCTTACTTTCAGCTGACCACAAAAGAGTATGCTCATTTGGCTTGGCACATAGTTTCTGCAGATTTACTAATCTATGAATCATTATCCTTCCAGGACCGCTGGATTCAACCTCTCAAGCTCTCCCTGCATCCATCTGCAATGCTGACTGCCCTGGAAGCTGCAGAGTACGCCTGGAAGCAAAATGAGCACATTTCACCCTGACTCCCGCAAGACCGGAGCAGAGGGACATGGGGCAGCAGCACCTGGCCCATCAGAGCCACCAAGTTACAGCCTGCTGGGCTCCAACAGCTGCATGTGGAAGAGATGGTGTAATCCTTGGTCTGGGCCTATTCTCTTGTATAGGGTGAGGAACAGGCATTTTTTCATTGTAGCCTAGAAATAGTGTCTAGCTCATACTCCTGAAGTTCATGACAGTTGCAAAAGGAGCATTTTCCTCAAGTTGAGGTAAACAATAAGATTACATATTTCTAGTAATATCAGCCTTCATGTCTGACAGTCCCTTGTTTGTTATTAAGCTTGGTCTAATACTAGGACTTTTGCAAAGGTCAGTTATGCTATTGGCCAGTGAAAGAGTCACCCTCTGCTCCCCTCTTTCCTACTTCTTCTCCAAGTGCAGTAAAAATTAGAGGAACTTCAGGAGCATTAGAGAATTTGAAACTGGGACCCCTTACCTCCAGCCCTGTATTGCAACTGATCTCGAACAGTAGAGAATAAACCAGCCTGGTGGCACTCTAAGCCCAAAATGATGCGAGGCTCTTTCTCTCTCCCAGGGCATTAAGTACCAGACAGCAGCAGCATATCAAAAGACCAACCAGCAGGGAGACCTAAAAAGGACAGCAAGCAACTGGACTCACTAACCAGAGGAAAGCAACAGGTTGATAAAGTACATCTGAAGAATTCACACAAGCCAGTAAAACTCTTTTTGCAACACTACCACGGAATGTCACAGCCAGAACAGCACCTCAGGCCACCCAGAACCCACAAAGCCCTTCTTGTCTGCCCCTGTCAGCACTCTTTAGTATAAGATGGTTTATAGTAGCACTAATTTATAACACAGTGCAAATTCTTAACTGGATTTTCACTGCAACTGTATCATACCTTGGCAGGAGGTGTCACTCATGAGCTGGAAAGTCAACTCGAGTAATATTCAACATACACATGGAAGGCACTCTTCTGGCTAATATCCCTGCAAAAACACTATCACTTTTAGGTTAAAAAAAAATAGTCGAAGACTATTTCTTAAAAAAATTAACAAAACCCTGACTCCATAGAGGACCAAATAATGCTCTGCCTTTCTATTTGTCCTTGATTTCCTAAAGCCTATTGTTTCCTGCAGCTCCGCTGAACAGGAGAGCTAAGAAAACATTCCAGCAGCAGGATTGGATTTGCCCAAGGGGCTCCCCCACAGCACTGAGTTCAATGTGCATCACATGTCACACAGCAGGAGGGAAGCTGATCTGCCATGCAGTCCCCATCTCTCCTGATGGATTCAGCCCTGCACGCTGTGCTTGCGCTTATTAACATTTGCATCCTGCAGGGAGCTACAGAAGCAAAACAAGGAATCTCTCCAAAGAAGCCTGGAACAGATTCAAAAACAAGGAATGCAAAGGAAGCAAAAACATAACAAAGACCCAGACTTCCTGTACCACACTTAGCTGTAGATGAGCTAACTGATGTATTCTACCTTAGCTTCGGTAATACATTTGCAACTTGTGTTTTGGGGGTGTTTTTTGTTGTTGTTTTTAAACCTTAGCAGTCATTCCTTCCTATCTTGTATCCAAGATTCTCACATTACCTCCTTTTCCCTTAGTCACCTCTCTCCTACTTCCCTGCTAGTGTGTTGGGAGCTTACATTTTCCCAGTGCTTCCCTACTGCTTCTCAACCCACCATGCTACTTTGTACACAGCTTTGTACATTCAGAAATTACAGACTAACGGGTGAGTCTTTGTGCTGATGTTGATAGGGCTTCTCAGCCATACCATGCATCCCCCCACTTTCCTTTCAAGCCATGCGAGCCAAAATTCAAGGTATAAGACATTAATTCAGATGAGAAAGTTTAGAGGGGATTTAAGATCAACAGCAACATCACTCTCCCTTATAGAAGAACTCTTTAGCCATGAATTTCTGCAGCATCAGCTGTTTTGGCCTGGTTAGTTCACTCTGCAGGAAGCGGGATTGCTGGAACGCACTATCCAATCCCATTTAACAGTTCCTACCTCTCCTCCATGGCCTGTGTTCACTGCTGGGATAGGTCTGCCCTGTCACATTCAGCACAGGCTCGTTCCCAGAGCTCACATCATCCATCAGATTCTAAACAGAGGCTTCTGTTCTTGCAAACAAATAGAACAGTAGACAGCAGCCAGTGCCAGGACTTGAGCAAATTTCATTCCAACTCAAACAGCATCTGTCTGACCCCTTGGAAGTCAAAGGAGAGAGAAATTGTACTTTGAAATGAGGTCATTACAAGAGGAGAGGAAGGGATATTGGTGTTGAGCCCATGAGTAGAAAAACAGTGCGAGGTGGTGTTTAAGATTAAACAGCAAGAGAGAGATTAACATCTCATGACTGATTTTTTTTCACTGACCTGCAATAAAATAAACAGTAAGACTTTAACAAATAAGTGATTAGCCATGTTATTGCAGTGCTGCCATGATCTCCACTTTTCATCGGCTAATACCTCCTGGTTTTTATAGATAAGGCTGCTGGAGTTAAGACGAGTAAGAAACAGAAATTTTGTTATGCTAATAAGTGTAAAATCTGTGTTTCCTTTTCAGAGTGCAAGTACCTGCCCCTTCGCTACTCCTTCCCCTCTTGGCTGGCTGATGTCTGATTGCCTGCATACAAAAATCAAGCCCAGCAGATCAGGTGGTTTGCTCTTTGCACATTTACATTTTCAGACCACCAAAATCAGGGAGCTGAAGGGTGCTTGTAGATGTGTGCACAGTGGGACTGGTTAATGATAGCCTTCTGCCACCTTGACTGAAATTTCTTCCTTTCCTGAAATATATTGCCGCCAGAATAATAATTAAAAAAAAAAATACTTTGCTGTGACTAGACCAATTAGCCATGACAACTTCAATCTCCCTTCTCAGCTATGGAAAAAAGCAATGGACAGAGTTCAGAGCTCAGATGAGATGCAGAGTCACAAATGCTTTTCTACAGGACTCAGAAGAGATCTCTGATCATATGTGCACACTTAGCACCAGTTGGTGCCTACCACTGCACTGCAACACTATCTACAGTGGGAAAGGTAAGAGACCATTCTGGGTCTGTTCTTGTTAGGTACCAGAAATCATGGTACTGAGGTGCAGCAAGCGGGTAACTGAACAGTGCATCATCCACTTTCATTGTAGCAATTTAAGAGCTGCCCACTGTACCACAGATATTGACTCCAGTAGCAGAACTCATGGTAGAAACTTAGTGCTGCAATTCACAGCCCAGTTTAGGACACTGAAATCAGATGGTTTCAGCTAACACTTTTGGCTGTGAACAACACAGCGGCTGAGACACAAAGATACTGCCTGCAGAACTAGAGGTGCTGACTTCTTAAATTACCCCACACAAACTTGTGAGACAGAGTCCTTCACCGTACCCAGAGTTACTAGAGCACTGCCCATGCAAGCAAGCCCCAGCTTCCCCCTCATTTCTGCTATAGTAATTCTGACTTCAGACATGTCACTATCAAATTTCTAGTTATTCCTGAAAATTCTTACTCATTTTGGTGAAGAGCTATTTCCTAGTCAGGTGGAAACATCTAGCATCCATCTTGGAATGGCAAAATACCCATTTTGTGTGAGCGATTGGTTTATCTGTAGGACAAAATATAACCAAACTGTTCTGAAAAATATCGATTTTGTCAGGACAGAATCTAATGTATTAAGTGCATAGGACTACATATCTTCAAGAGGCAGTCAGCAGCAAGAACAAATACCAGAGTCAAATCAGTGAGAAATTCAGGTTTGCTCAGTCTCTCTAAAACAGTGTAAAGGATGCTGGCTCCACAAGGGGCATCATGGTTGAAAGACAGAGCATCTGTGCTGCATTTTCTATATCTAAGAATGGTTAGAGACACTCAAAACAGGAATGAGCCCAGACTGGCTCAAAAAAAAAAAAAAAAAAAGAGTTTGTTTCCATCAAAGCAGAGTCAGAGGGAACACCAACTGCCAAATTCTGCACAGACTGCCACCAGGTCAGGTGCTGTTATGGAAGGGATCTTCCAGATACGTGCACAGAGGTATTTCCACTGCCAGTGCTAAACACACAGTCCATTTATGTGAAACAAGTATGTGGAATGGTTGCCAAAGACATCCAAGACTAGTCTTCATGGCCTTTCACAGGGACTTGCATTAACATCCACTGTTCAGACAACTCATGTGCAATCCATGCAGCAGTAACTGTTTCTCTACATCATTCATCACCTCAAAGATCTACCTCCCAGTTTGCCATATGGTTGTACTCCATCTTAAGGGTCTTTTCCAACCTAGTAATTCTATGATTCTATACACAAGGGATTACACTTTGAAATAGAGTCAGATGTGACATTAAAGCACTGTGACTACTTTGCACTAACTTTCTGTATTAAGTATTTCTTGCACACTCACACTCCCTGTTGCCAGTTCCATTGAGTCCAGGTCAGAAGCCCATCCATCCAGCACACAAAAATCAAGCCTGAAACCGTATACTTACAGTAATAGCAATGATACATCAAGTCAAGTACAACAGTCAAGCAAACATCATGACAAGGAAATCCAGCAGGATAAAGGCAGATGGTCTGAGATAACCCAGAAAGCTCAGAACAATAGGGCTGAATATACTAAAGAGGACAGGGGGATATCTAATCTGTTTGGAAATCGTGAGTGAACATTAGCCCTGTCATTTAATGAGGATACAGTTAAAAACAACATCAGTGAAGTGGTTTGTGATGGAAAGAAGTGAAGGTGGAAGTTTCATACTCCCCTCATCCATTTTCCCAGAAGACACTCTTGCTTTTCTCTTTCCTTTCTTGCCACAGCACTGACAGCCCTTTTCTTTGGCCTTTGAAACCTTGTAAGCAATGCTGCACTCCACTAACTCTCACAAACCTTGTCCTACTGTCCCTTCTTACAGCCACAAACACTCATTTGTTCCACTGGAGGTGGAGACTATGTAGTTGCAAATAGAGTTGTTTTAAATAAATTAGATCTACAAAGGTGTTCATCTGCATGCCAAGTTAACTGATGAATCATGCTAACAAGGTCTTTATGTGCTTGAATGAGTTTCCCCAAATACGTGGGATTATAAATCTAGTTTTGAAGTGCAGTAGTTGCTTTTTATCTGAAGCCTCACCTACTGGTGATATAAGACATTTGTATAATTAGCTTTGTGTATTCCATGAAGCAGTTTTAAGTCTAAGGTTGAGGTGCAAGGAAATGATAATCAGAATAGAACAAGTCAAGGTTTGTTCCAGCCCTGCACCAAACAAGAAAAAATATGGCTGAGGAAATGTTCCAAAATGGAGGAATGTGGTTTTCCGTAACCTACTAGCTGTGCCTGAAACAGTGTTAAACACTTAACAGAGTGTTAAAGCACTCTGCTTTAGCATTGAACAACAATTCTTCCTGGTTCCAGACAGAGAACGACTTGAGTTTAATGCAGCTTGCTGCCTTTGAATTTTTAAAACAGACTTTCAATGGGAAAAAATTGAACCAACTGACCCAAACTGATTTACAGTGTTAGCCGGTAACTCAGATACACTGATAAACATCTAATAAGAAACATTTGATTTCAATCTTTTTAGTCTTCAGGTATGCAGCAGTTAACCACACACCAGGAACAGAATGAAACTTTAAATCATTATTTCCTCCTAACACATCAGTGTTAAAATCTACACAACAGAAGGGATTAGTAGGCAAAAGCTAACAACACCACGTGAGATGGAGAATTTTCCTGTTTCCAGGATAAAGTGGGTGACAAAGTGTTGAAACTGAAGCAAAGTTCATCTGTTCTCACAAAAGGGAAGACTACCATAGGACTAACTCAGGCAACAGGGGCACAAATTGACACAGACTGGGGAAGGAGAGGAACAGATCTACGCCAGAAACTGCTCAGATCTGTTGAGTTTGATAGCTTTCAGGCAGAGGAAGTTCTGTAAAGAACCTTTCTTATACACACATGCCCCCTTGAGTCAGGTGCACCACATGAAACAGTTGATACCAGCTGAAAGTGTAGTTCACTCCACAGTTACACAGTCATTCACTTGCACATAGCATCAGCAAACGCTGTTGAAAACTCAGAAAACTAAGAGTCCCACAGGGTAAATGCAATAAATGCTGTAACTACAATGAAGACAATACATGAGATCTCCCCACAGCTTGGAATCGGCCCTTTTGTGTTACGTTTGCAGATGCAGCATTAGGACTGTGATATACAAAAGCAACCACAGCATTTGCTCACAGCTGTCAGCTTTCACCTCAGCAAACTGCCATAAATGGGGAAGGTTTATGGAAGCCCCAGTATGCCAGTACCCTGCTCTGACACAGACATTGGGATGGACTATGAGTCTTTGCAAATGTTTATATTGCAGATCACTTTTTTATGAAGACAAACTTCTGGAGCCACTGCTGTGAATGCAGAAATGACCACCTTGACCTGTGGTCCTAAGTGAAACAATGCAATTCCATACAGGTAGAAAAAAGCAACTGGATGATTTAAGAGAACCCCAATTACTCAGGACAGCAGTACTTTTTAAAAAGGGGAGACTATTCTGACTTCCAGAAGTGGTTCAGTCTCTGCAACTCCATGAGATCTTGCCACGTAATCCCCTAAGTAATCCCACATGCACTGCTTGGTAGTGCGTCACAGTTTAAGAAACTGGGTATAGTTTATCCCTTAAGAATATCATATACAGTCTCTTCAAGTAACTCAACAGACAGCTGAAGTTCAGGAAGACAACACAAAGTTTCACTGGAGATGAAGGAAATAATCTGTTTAATATCAGTACTATTTCCAGGGCCTGTTCATAATTTGGAGATGCTAAAAGAAAGATGAGTGGCTATTTCTAGGTAGAGAATGTTGTTACATTACCCAGGGAAAGTTCTAGCAGGGCCAGCTGATACAAAGTTCTGCTGTGGGCTGATGTATGCAACTTGTTCATCACCATATTATGTCATGATTCAATGACACGAGAACACATTAAATCAGATTTGGAATGAGTACGGATTTCCTAAAAGCTGCATTGGCTAAAATCAGGCAAAGAATCAATACTTGCTCAAGTACTTCTTTGATTAGTAAGACATACTATACAGTATAAGCCACAGCAGCAGGGAACACTCCACGTGCTTTGTGTAGCTCAGCAGTTTGCCACATGGCAATTGCCTGCACACCAGTTATTAATAGGATCATATGGAGTAACATGGTAAATGTCTTTTAGCAGCATAATTCTGAAAAAGGCCACATTATGCATGCCTAGTCACGAGTAAGTACTACAGATCATCTCAAAGTCACATGAATACATTTTCTCCTATTGTCACAATATAGAGTCCTTATAAATCCCATTTCTTCAAATCATAAAGCATCCTCCATTTACTTCCTACCACACATGTGATCATACCCATTTCCTGGCACACCTGAGCTCCTCCATGTGGGTAAGAATTAGACCTTCTTTATTAGCTTCAAAAGAATGAATCTCTTTGCAATCCCTTCTCCAGAATAGAATACAATTTCTCTGGAATATACAAGGTAGGTGGGAAAGTTGCCCCTTTCTGTATGTCTGTCTCATTCAGTAATGTCAGAATCAGTTAAATTTCTGTCTTTTCCTACATTTCTGCTGGGTTTGCCACCACAGAATTCTGTTTCCCACAAGATTCAGCTCTGTGAAAAAGAGGAGCTCCAAGGCCAAATGTTGGAGTTCACCAGTGACAGCCTACCAGTCCCAGGCTGCATCCCTCTCACTGAGATCTTCTTCCTTGACGTTTTAGGTGGCTCCTGGATATTGCAAGAAATGCGCAACTTCAGGGGCTGACACTATTTACTGAAACCCAGGGAATACAGAAGATTCCCTTGACTGGGGTGCAGTAAATACCAAAATTGTCCCTTTGCAAGGGCTGGCTGACTTGCACTGATTTATTTCTCCCATGCTAAATAAACAGTGAAACCATTTCAATATCCTTGTTCAAATGGATCTTCCTTCACTACTAGGAAAAAATTAAAGTTGTTCTGTCCAGAGGGAAGTCTGATTTCTCTCACATTTTAGGGGTAAGAGGGAGAATACTTTAAAAAATATTCACAATTATCCAGATGTTCCACAGTACATGATAATTTGAACAACTGTTGAATGTCCAACTGCATTTTGCTAACCCTGGTAGGTGTAGGGGAAAGTACAATTCTTTAATCTAATTTTTCCCCAGTTTTACAAGTTTTGATTTAGGAATAGATTCCAGCTCTAGACTTAGCAGGATTAACAATGCAGTTTGACCTTTAGCATTTATTTAAATTAACATGTACTGTGGAACAGAAAAGTAAGTCCCATTAATAGTTATATCCAGTGACATACTGACTGAGGAAGAAAAGGACAGAAAGAGGCAGAGGAACTCAGAACAAGGTGAACACTGTATTTGGCATCAAATTTTTCCTGCAAACAAGCTGCTCGGTGCTACCACCAGTCCAGCAAAGCTTCCCAGTCTTATCCCAGCTGCTTCCTCCAGAAACAATTTTCCAGATCCTTAAATCACAGGCACCTTCACACAGCATGTCTTAGTGAACCTGTACTTCATGAACTAGATGGTATCAATTGCCCTGCCTCTACTAACTTCGGAGCTGTACTGATGTGCTGCAGCAGGAGATTGAGGCAAATCTCCCAATTGCCAGGGTATTCTACATGCAAAAGCAATTAAATAAGCATACAGTGTGGATTAAAAACAGGACAATGTCTTGTTGTGCTAGGAAAAATACTATTGCAGCATTAATTATCATTCAAGTAATTATGATATGCCTACTAATTAATCATCACTGAATCCTGTGCCAGCAGGCACTCTGTGCAATAATGAATGAGAGCCATAATAAAATATAAAAAGCACAGTTAAGGGATCTCATATCTTAACATACCTCTTCTCATTTATGTAGTGGAGTCTAGATTTTTTTTTTTCTCCAGGGATAGTTAGGCAAATATACTACTGCTCTTCAGCAAGGTGCTGGAGACTTTTGGAAAGAGAAAGCAGTACAAAGAGCACAGAACTACCAGGACAACCCTGCAACCTTATCTAGTATATGTTTAATATTAAATAATTTAATCTGGGCTTTAAATGGTAAACTTTGATTGATTGTTTTGCCTAGTAAACATTCTGATAATGGAGTCCTTGAATAAAACTAAGCAACTTCTACAGCAGTGAGGCAGACTGATTAAAACTCATATCCCCACTTGCTGTCAGAGACCTCATCTAGCGATTATTTCATGCTCACATGACCCATAAGTAATAGCCTGTTAGTGAACCTCACCGGCCTTTCCCTGACAACACTGGAGAGGAGAATAGAACTATTCTTTGCCCTTCTCGTCCTTTCTTATGGACATGGGACACTACCACTTCCCTCTTGCTTGTCCTTTACTGCACAGAGTAGGCTGTTCAGCTGCTGCAAATGCCTGATCTACATGAGAACACTATGCTTCAGCCAGAGAGAAATGGAGCATGAACAATTCAGCTCTCAAGGCAGAGGTGTGAAAAAGCATGTTTCCTCTTGTTCACAAATGCCTAATATTGTCCATTTATAGGAACTGCACATTGTAATATGTGTATGAGCATGCTTAGGTTAGTGTGCTAACCCAGGTTTGCAAAGCAACACAGCAGTTTGAGCACAGTATCTACTTACCTGCTTAGAACAGGGAACCAAAATATTTAATTTGCCTTCAGCAAGAATAAAAGAAAAAAACAGACCAGCTCCCTAGATAGCAATTAATATATGCCTGCATACTCCAACAACATATCTAGTTCAAGTGAGAAATATGGCTATGTAGGGATGTGTAGGTTACCTGCTGCATTCCTTTGGTCAAAGGCAAGAATTAACAGACATGTACTATTCAGTGATCAGAGCAATAGTTAGGATGTCTGGATTCTTGACTCTGCTGCATCCTAGAGTTTGGGGGTGGCTAGACCTCTCCAAATTTCTCCACCTGAGACAGGAATGGTGGCAATTCCTAGTTTTCAAGGAGCACTGAGAGGTTTTACTTGCTTTTGTTTGCAAATGCTCAGAGAATCTTAGGTAGACCTTAAGAATAAGGGTGCGAGAAGAGAAGAGCACTGAGAATTCACAGAGAGCATCCAAGTTTTCACAATCTAGTCTTCTAGGTTCCTGTAGCTGGGTTTATGGTTGGTAGCAGGCACTACAGTTGCTGTCATGCAAGGTATGTTTCCCTACACAAACACTTACTACTGTTTTAAGATTATCATTATGCTTGAGTTTTTATGTGGTGCAAAAGCAGTCAATCTCCACGTAAAAGCAGCTATCAAAACAGCATACTACTTGAAAGCAGTTGGCACAGATGTAAATAACCAGACTCCTCAGATCATGGATACTATTTGGCTAACAAGATATTTTGGCTCCAGAGTTTAAGATCAACCCACAGCACTTCCTGCAGTGACAACCCATCTGTAGCATAGGGTCATAGGAGGGCTAAGTCCAGAGGATTCAGGGAAAAGCTGGATGAATAACTTGGAAGACAAGTCTGCTGAGAGTTATTAACCAGTGAGAAGTAACCTCCTGCTCAGGAAACCTCCTTGAGCTAAAAATACTTGAAGTTTGAACAAAGTATCATATCTATTTGCTTCATATCTTATTCTTCCCTCTGTGCCAACTCATGGCTGTGGTTGCTGCTAAATTACTGACTAGCTGGACCACCAGTCTGACCCATGATAGCTGCTCTAATTTGTAGCTACAATAAGGAATTCACTTATCACTGCCCCTACTCTGTTCTTTTGAGTTCCAAACTTCATCACTAAGCCCAGTACCCACTGTATTAAACTATGAAGGACCATATTGGACCCAAAAGACAAGCAGGCCCCACATAGCAAGCATGACCACAGAAAGAACAAAAAAAAAGTGTAACACTTTTGAGCCTGTCAAAGATCTTTGAGAAATGCAAGCACAGACCTGCACATAGAAGTTGTTCCTGTAAGTGAATTCAATTTTCTTAGCATTAACTCTCCGGAAGAAGTTAGTTTTGATCCAAAGAAAGCATGGAGGTATTCAGAAGCAACTGTTAGACTTACATTCACACTCTTCCCACAGTCTGCTTTCAGAAAAGGCTACCGTTTCCTGGCTGAGGAAGCACCTCCAAGAGAGAGGATGACAGGAGAAATACCATTGACAACACCCATTAGAGGCACAACCAGAGCTGTGTAAAAACAGGCCAGCTGAAGATTTGCCCCTGAAGTTTTGTAGCTACATGAAATCACCATACAAGTCTTGTAGTGAAATACACATGCAAGAAAGCACAGCATGTAGTGTTTTTGGATGAACAAGAAGCCAGTGAGACTAAAAGATTGCTCTATGCAGTACAAGCAGGAAATAATGAAAATGTGGCACTGCATGTGATAGAATTTTGTGAACGTTACTTCAAAGGTGGGTGTGGAAGGAGAAAAAAGAATGGTACCTGAAAAAAAAAAAAAAAAAGTTATAGAGAAATATTTAAAACTCCAGAAGAATAACTTTAAAAACTGTGCTGTTCATCTTTTTTCTTTGAAAAACAGTCTTGGATTTTATTTTTTAATTTCAAATAGATAACATTTCCTTGATATTTTAACATTGGTTTGTATTAGGTCTTGTAATTGATAGACTGAATGGAAAATACTTTAAAAGCCTGATCTAGCACTGGTACACAAAACTTTTATTCTAGTTACCTGCCATTACTCGAGGCATAAACTGAGAAAAAAAGTTCCTGCTAGAACCTGAAGATGATCATCAGCAGAATAACTTTACCTAAATAGCCCCAGAATACATCAGTGTATTCATTCTCTTTACTGAACACGAAATTCTTTTTTATCCTATTCCTGTGGATACAGCACTTTGTTCTGCCAAGGTCTCACAGCTAAACCCTGTCAAAAATGGCAAAGGTAAGAACACCTGAGTGAATGGAACACTGACAAACAAGCTAGCACATGCATAACTCCCTGTAGGCAAGTATGTTTGTAAACATAGTTTGTTGGTCTACCAACAAATTAGCAGAGAGGAAACCTTGTGTGGTTGTTTTATTATCTAGCTCTTTGGTAAGTTTCCCAAAGAAAGCCTATAGTGTACTTGGAAGCTTTCAAATGCTGAAACATTTACACATAAAAATCTTTCAGTTTTATTTTTCTATGTGGCTAGTTTCCCTTCGAGTGTGTCAACTGCTGAAAGAGACCTAAAGTTTATATGTTCTTAGACTTTTAAGATGTACAGGACGATAAGGTTGAAGTACTCTATTCCAAACAAATTAATAAATATCACCAAACAGTGGAACTGACTTTAGGTATTTCTAACTTGATTTTACTTCTGCTAAGATATAGTTGCCCATCAGGACCTAGGATGCTCAATGATTAACTCGGGTTAGACACAACAGGTTTGTTTTGTTCCTGTATCATTAAGAGAGGTCAAAGCTTCAGTATAATTCAGATGTAGAATTATTCCTTCCTTTGTCTGTATTCTACATTGCAGAAGATTTCTAGGAGCCCAGGGATGGGTGCAGGAGATTAACAGGGCACAAAGTTTAATGATTGTGTGATACACAGAAGTCATCCATGGACATTTCAGTCAAAGAGCAATTTGGTTTTCACTTTCTCCACATGCTTCCAAAAACTTGTAATAAAGCTGCTTCTGTAGACAGACTACTTCCAGCATGAAATCATGATGAAAGTTGCCCCACTTTCCAGGGTCCCAAAGGAACATCCACCTGCTATTTGTAGTACTAGGAAAATGAAGACACCAGTCTGTGCATCCTATCGAAAATTGATACAAGGGCTTTGCTAGTCTTTGAGCCTCATAGAACTGTCCCTATGGACCCTTGCAGTCTTTGGATCATTTTGTGCAATCTAGACAAAACAAAGCCAGCTTTCAAATACTTTCCAGGGTGATTTGGGTTACTTTTGTTTTATAGCAGATCACTTTCTTGAGGACAGAGACTTTGAGGGCTGCTCCTGTGAAGCCACCAGACCAGCCAGACCTGCATGCCCACCTCAACCACTGCAACTCTGTCAAGGTGGAAACTGGCTGCTGGACAATCTATGAATGTCCCAACTACATAGGCCATCAGTACTTCCTGAGGAAAGGAGAATATCCTGACTACCAGCACTGGATGGGCTTCAATGACTCCATTAGGACTTGTATCATCACAGCAGTAAGTTCTCCCTATTGTCTCCATGTATATTCCTGCCTATATCAGAATTAGAGCACAACACCCCATTTTCACAGGTCTGACACAAGTAACAACTTCCCCAGAGACATCTATGTAGGGGAGGGTAGTAGAAAAGACACTTACCAAGTTCACCTAATGGGGTTTAGGCTCCCAAAGAGGTAGATAAGTCAGCTGGGATCCTCAGCCAAATGAATGGTTTATAGTGCTTTGGGAAGAGTTTATTGTATTTTATTTTTTTTATAATATTATGTTTATATATTATCTTTGTATATAAAAGCACTTCACCAATCTTCTAAAACTCTGGCTATACATGATCTACAGAAGGAAATTTAGTACAGAGCTGAGAATAAAACCATATCTCCTGTGCCCCAGTCAATACTCTCCTTTCAGGGTAGGCAAAGTTGGTGACTACACTACTACAGAGGCAACCTGACAGATCCCACTGTAGAGACACCACCATGTATTTGAGCTGCAAATGAAGGCATATTTGCCTCATGATAGATTTTTCTTTTTCCTGAATACTTCAACCCAGAATAATCTGTTTTTCCATCCTAGACTCATTCACTGTAAGAGTTAAGAGAGGAGAAGTTGCCAAGATGTGAAAGACTTTAATACTCACACATAAGGCTAGGGATTTGAGATTTGGCCCAGGAATAGCCTTGATGCTGGAATGTGTCCCTCCAATGTTCATGAAAAATTAAGTTCACCCATGTCGTAAGCTTTATATAATTCACAGTTTCCTTGTCCAGTAGAAGCTTCATAGACTATCACAGCAAGTTTCCAGATACATTCCATCTGCATAGGATAGTACAGCTTTTTTTCTCTGACATAAGTTCTGGGTCTAAGTGCTGAAAGCTACTGCAGACACTGTTGTATCCTTTCAAGCTGTAGAGGGAAAGAAGTCACAGATGAGGAGAATGGGAACAAGATGGACTGAAGGGAAGTTGACTTGGGAGACTGTCAGGAAGTATCTGAGAAGGAGCAGAGAAACCGAAAATTAGCATGGGTGTAGAAAAAAAATCCTAAAATTCAGATACATTTTTGCATGCTTTCCAGATTCAGAACAAGAGTGCTCAGAAAGTTTGACTCCACAAATGTAGATATTGAAATATTGTAGGGTTTCATTGTGGGTTTGGTTTTTTTTTTTGAACCGAGTAAGGTGTCGGTCTTTGCACAGCAGCAGTACTCGTGTCTATACAACTGCACTTGAGCATGTGCAAAAACTGCATTGAGCATTGATGCAAGAGCAGAAAGTATTTTTCTATATCAAATCTTTTCTGTGCTAGATACAAGAGTCAGAAACAGTCTTGAAACAGTTTATCATCTTAGTAGATGAAAAGCAAGAATTCCTGCCCACCTAAGGCTGTGCAACGAAAATAGAATCAGAAAAACCTCCCCTCTGTCCCAGCCAGAGCCTTGTCCAGTTATGAGCAACATCTTGGAACACTAAGGGCACATGACTGCTCTATCAATCCAGGTATATCACTGAGCTTATTTCTTACTGCATATACAGTTGAGGTGTGATGACGCTGGCTGGACCCCACTTCCTTTTCCTGACCTACTGCAACTCTTTCAGAGCAACTGCAGTTCTTCTTTCACTGGATCAGAAAGGATTCACAGAACTGCTCCCTTAAATTAAGACCCAGTCAGATTTATTCCTGTTAAACTGACTTCTCTGCACATAATAGTGGCTATTCACTGTTATGTTGGTAGAATCAGTATTGCATCTAGCAAGCTTTAGTCACCTAGAACTGCCACTTGACATCCTGTGCTTCCACATCTGGATTTGCCTTCACAGCCCCAGGAGCACAGCTGGCTACAGATCCAGGAGGAATGTCTTTGGAGGCAGGATGTTAGAGTTAATGGATAACTGCCCTTCTCTCCAGGATGACTTTCACTATAAGGACATCCAGTCTTGTAATGTACTTGAATGAAGCTGGGTTTTCTATGAACAGCCACACTTCTGAGGACAGCAGCACCTCTTGATGCTTGGCAAGTACAGATGATTCACTGACTGGGGTGCCATGACTGCCAAGGTTGGATTTTTCCAACCAGAAGTACATATTTCCTAACCAGCCCTTTCCTAAGCTATACGTCAATGAATACCACCATTAGTACTTTATTAAGGCCAAGAAGTTTTGGAGCCTACATGCATTAGGCTCCCTTTTCTTGCAATGCTTTTAGCCTTTGATTTAAAGCCCACCAGAGTCAGAAAGTGTCTTGACTGCGGTGGACTTCAGAGCCTGTGATTGCTTTACTGCTAGGAGTAACTCCCCTCAAGTCAGTGGAGATGAGCTGGTAACACCCAAGCTCAGACTGCATCTAAATTGCTAAGCTGAACTTGTATCTGCAGCCTCATATCAATTTAAAAACAGCATCTTTGAAGAAAAAGATTATTTCAGACCATAGAGGAAAAAATTAAATACATTCTTCATTTATGATAATGAAAATCCAAAAATCCACCTGTAACTGAGTCCATGGGACTGACTCCATGCTTGAATTTATTCCAGGGCATACCTTACATCTTGAGTGGCCCCAGAAAAGCAACATCCTTCTCAGAAGTAGCTCTCCTGTGAACAGACTGGCAAGTTCACAGCCACAGTATAATTATGAAGGTACTGTGTACCAAACCTGCAGCTGTGACACTAGATAACTTAAGACAAAGCAAAGTATTTACCATCTTTATTAATAAGAAGTATTTCTGTCAGTGACTATTTGTAATGCTACAGATATCAAAATAAATCTTTCAGTTGCTTATTCACTTCATGATGAAAAAAACCAGTCCTGGTTCCTGCTGCCACTTGGCATTAAGTCCAGAGTTCTGCACAGGACTTCCCTGCTTCTATTTCCAGCTCAGGGCCTACACTACGCTCTTCAGTTTAGCCAGGACCTCATAATGTTTGTAGACACGAACTCATGTTGATCTTCTGTAGCGCAGAGAAGTAGCAACTTCTAGTAGGATCTGAGGTTAGAAACCAGAAGAGAGACCCATTATATTAAGGAGTCTACAACCCTTTCAGTGTGCAAAGTGGGCCCCCACGTCTCACACATACTTTGACAGCACACTGTTTACACAACAAGCGCAGGATCTTTAAAACTGCTTTCAAGTTCTACAACACTAGCCATCATTCAGGAGGTCTCTATACCCTTTCTGTGTCAGGAGTTAGGCTAGCAGAGTCCCTGGAGGATTCACAAGGGCACAGCCTTGGTTTCACATCCCACTCAGAAGCAGGCACTGTGCTGTAGCCAACACCTAACTTCTGGGAGGTCGTGGTGCTAACATTTTGCTATAATCCCACCTCTAGCAGCAATTGATATTTCCTAAGCATGTTTCCCTTTAATTACTTCTCTTCATTTGCATTCTTCCCCAAACCAAGAGGATTTAGGTCCCAAATTACTATAGCAGGCACTCTCAGGACAACATACCCTGTCAGCTGAGACAGAATTAAGTTCAGACAGATCACCAGAGACTACTAACACCTACACATACTTAAACCTTGGTTGCTGACTTTTTTTTTTTTTTTCCCCCAACACACTGATGGCTTTCAGGAGCCATGCTGCAGATCCAGATCTGCTGAGCACTGCAACATAATGCAATCATTCATTAAACAACTTCTTAACTAAAGCAGAATGATTTGAAGTGCAACTATGGTAACTTCACTGATCACTGGCAATAACTGGACAGTGGGGTGGATGGTAAGGGACATCTTTGAGTGAAAAGTCAGTTCGGTGAGGAAGGAGAACACTGTTACATGCAATTTGTGCAGTAACAACTGGTGTCTGAGCATCTGCAAAAGAAAGATAGCTGAAGCATGAGTCTCTAGTATAGCTGAAGCATAAGCTCTAGTATAGCTAACTAAATGACAGCAGAGCGGGGCAGTTCTAAGCCTGAACACCCATCCATGAATCTTCACTGGATGTGAGAGCTTGTAAGAACCTAGGCAGACCAAAGCATATAAACAAATACTCTATATTTAGTCAGGAAGACTCTTTAAGATATAGCCTCCACAGGAATATTCCTAGCACAGCCACAAACTGAAGGCCTGTGGTAAGGGAGCCTATGCTATAGAAAAAGCAGCTGAGAGATCAAGTCACTGCCTGGGCCTTTTACAGCAGGAGATTCGTTATATTGAAGGCCCCCTGTGGAAACAAGCTGAAAGGACAGAGAAGGACAAAAACAGTCACCATGGTCCCAGGCTACCCTGGGGTAAATTCCTTCCTGAATTTAAGTCTGATGAATGGTTTAACCCTGCATATATGAAAGCAGAGCAGCCAGGGGCCAGAGGGACTTAATGCTATTAGCCAGACCATCAACTCGCAGCTTTCGATGTGGCCAGTCTCCAACACTTTGAAAGAAAGCAACTAAAATCCCTAGAAACCAGCTTATGTGTCAAAGGGCAAACAAATTCCTTCTCATTTCCAAATTTTGCAAACTACTAACAAGGCCTGAACTACCTGGGGTACGATGTGAATATGGTGACATATAATTAAGTTTACTGGCTTACCTAATAGAACAATTGCACACTCTTTTTTTGCAGTCATAGCCAGAGAAACTCAAGACAAGCTGATCCTGTGCTACCTTCAGCAAAACACCAGGTTACTCCTTTTCAATAGCCACACAGAATGCGATCTCAAGTTAATTTGGCTTGAACATCTAGAAACTAGCATCCACAAAGGCCTATTTCTTTACATATAACAAAAGGTATTTTGGTAGTGGGAGTTTTACACACAGCTGCCAAGGCCTCTTGCCTAGAATATAAATATTACTCCTTCCTTCTGTGCAAGGGTCTGTTTGTAATGGGATATGGAAGAGTTGAGAGGAGGGTTCATTTCTAAGCATATTTCAGGTCTCCATTGTTAGTAAGCAAAGCATTAGCCCTAAGATACCAAGCAAAACCTCAGGTAAAAGCTTTGCCATATACCTATCTCAGCACGATTTTTGCCAGCCTAGGGCATGATTTCAGTAGAAGCCTTAGAGCCAAACATGTTTGAGAATATATGAAAGTCAGGTACAGATTTTTGTCTTTGTCATTTGCTTCTACAGAAAATAGGTATAGCTTAACTAAACTATTACTATAAGGTGTCTGTTTTTTCCTGCCACTACAGAGGTCCCTTGCCTCAAGGCCAAGACCCAGTGCAGTCCAGTCCTTAGCTGAACCTTTCCTTAATCTCAAATACATGCCTTCTCACTATTCACACCCTCTTCTCTATCCATTCTGTTACTTGAACTTGCTGACTGACAAGTTCAGTCTAAGGTAAGGTGACTGAGTTACTAACATACAGCTACTGAAGAGAGATAAAGTACAAAACCACAAATAATGAACAAAGTAAGAAACAGTCACTACTGTAAACAGTCATTTATCACAAGACAGCAGCTAAGGAACAATTAAATACAAATGAACACTACTCACCTGACTATTTAAGGTCCATGAAACAATTGATACATAATTGGAAGAAAAGATGATGAAAAATCTAATAATTAACTTTCACAGCTAGATCAATCCATAAACATTCATATTTTAAAGTACCCATCTTCCTCCATTCTTTGACTACCATATCCTTAGATAAGTCTTTATGCAGTACACTAAAATACAGATTCACCTAGAATTATACTACACCTGTGGGGGCAAAGCTGTAGCCCACCTTTCTCCACTGTCCTCTCTCATTATTGCTTTTAATTGCATGTGAGAGAGGAAGAACTTACAGTGAATACTGAATGATGGTCCATACTGACAGAGACTAGATTTCATCTACACCCACTGATACCAACATCCACAAATCACCTTAATTTTACAGTGAGCTACCTGGTTTAGGAAAATGTCTAGGTCAGACCAGAAGACCACTCACCCTGTATGCCACTGGAAAAGACTATGCTGGTATAAGACACAAATACTTTATTTTTCCCTCTAGAGCACCTGCATAAGGTGAAAGCTGTGTACACAAGCAGCAGCAATTATCCAGCCCCACAAGATACCCATTTCACTGTAACTTCAGCAGAGTGGAAAATGGCTGCTTTATAGTCTGTGAGCACCCTAATTACGGCAGCGCTTAAAAAGGGAGAAGTCTCCCATTTCTGTCAGAGGATTGTTTTTTGTTGCTTCACTAGAGCCTGCTGTAGGACTTCTGCATATGGGATCAGCTACTATTGCTTACAAAAGTCAGTAAAGCAAAAAATCAAAGAAGTATTTCAAGGGAGGAATTGGGTTTGACGTGCCTTTGCTTGGTCTCAGCTTCTTCAAAGGTAGCAAATTGTAGAAGTTTGAAATAGGCTGTTGTTTATACTAGAAAAGGCTGTAAGAAGATTAAATAAAAATTTATAACACAAAAGGTATGCTATAAAGAGCTTCTTTTTCCTATATTATTGTGGAAGGGACAAATAGTTTGCTTTTGCTTCAAAGGTAATGCAGGTTGGCTGTTAGGGAGGAGCTCCTAGCAGTAACTCAAGCCCTGAAATAAATCCTCAGGGAAGATGCAGAATCTCTTCTGTTTCTAGAGACTGTTCACAGAGAGGGGGATCCAGGGTGGTTTAAGTATAGCAGATCCTGCCCTGAGGATAGAGCTGGACTCTGAGCTTTTTTTTTTTTTTCTTGATGGAAAAATAGTATGTTGCAACCTCAAGGCGGGAGACTATTGTGGCTAGCAGCAAGTAGCAGAGCACATATATCACACGACTAAAAATAATCTTACAGACTCATTTTTGTCAGTGTCCTTCCATCCATGCTAGGAACTATGTTTAGATATTGCAGTAAAAGATACTTCTCCCACTCCTGCGATGCTAATCCACATGATACAACACCGAGAACGAATTAGCCCTTAAATTTATCCAGGGAAACATCCCTGATGTAAAAACAAGACAAATATGCAAAAGCATGCTGCAGGGACCAATCTTAAAACTGTCTCTGGGCTCTTGGTGACACTTAGCCATCCCTAGCTTTTTTTTTTTTTTTTTTATACAGCAGATGGTACAACAATATTCCACAGTCAAGTCCTTTGCAAAGGATTTCCAAACCTTACATGAAACCATTGCAGTGGTGTGCAAATCCCCTGCAAAGAAATCGACTATGCAACGAATGGCAATGAATGCTTCATCACATGAAGCTGTACAACATTTACATGGGTGAGGAGATGATCCAGCAGCAGAAGGACCAGGGCTGCGGCCAGAGATTGCAAGGTTGTGATTCTCCCAGCAAACTTGGTAGAAAGTCCAGGTCTCCTTAAATCTCCTTCTCCCTGCCTTGAAGCCTGATGCAACGTTAATTTCTAGCCTCGGAGAAGACGGTCACGGAGGAAAGCCGGTGCCCCAGGCGAGTCACGCTGAAAGGATCGTTACTGGGGGAGCAGGAGGAAAGTTCTTTGCTGGAGCGCTGCTCCCGGGGAGGGTCAGCGCACTGCCAGTATGCTTGGAAAAAGCCACCCCTGAAAGCTGAGGAACGTCTTTTCACATTTCTCCTTTAGAAACCGAACTTACCGTAGGAATGCTGTCTTAGTCCTACACAAGCTCTGCATACCAGGTATGGGCTGCTTTAAAGCGGTAGCAGATTGTCTGTCTGTATATACCCACGCTCCTCAAGCTATGCAGGCAGGCCTCTCTGGAGCGTATGTAAAGCACACGTACGTGCCTGATAACCTTTAATCACTTATAGAGCAGTGGGGAGGGTTCCTGAGGGGCTCCGTCCCGCAAGGACTGGGAATGCCCATCCTGTTAGGCTCCTCGGGCGGGCCGCCTCACAGGGACCGGCTGCTCCTGCGGCGAGGGGCTGCGGGCCGCGGGAGGGCTCTATCACCGGGACTGTCCACAGCGGCCCCGGCCTGCCCCGCCGGGCTCCAGGCAGC